TGAAAAAACCACTGTACCTCATTACCTATCTGTTCTTGCCTTCCCCAGTGAGTTTTCAGACACAAAAACTCATCTACTAGTTCTATGGAATTTGCTGAGCCAATACCTTCATGATATATGAAGTATATAAATCCCCAAAGTTTGAAAATATTGCACTTTCATCTACACTACTAACCATTAAAGATTCTACACCCCAGTCAGAGAAGAATAAAAGCAAACGAGCATGGAACATAGAAGGCAGGCTCAGTCAACTGCTGATAAGCTTGATTTTGCCCCATACACTGATCCATCTTAACTGCTTCTGCTTAAAAGTTTATCAGTGCAATTATTCCTAATGAAAGTATTAAGCACTATGCCAGAGTCATGAGCCAGAGGGCTGTTTTTTTTCAAGTTTTTCATTACCTACTAAGTAAATTAATTAATGCAAATGAAACTCTAGTGTCATAAAGCCACATCCTGCTCTAATTGAAGACAATGGCAAAACTGTCACTGACCTCCATGGGAACAGGTTCAGGCCCATAACTTTCATATATTGTACATTAAGCGACATAATCAGAAATACTATCTTCTTCCATTAAAATGATATATACGAGTAACATGACAAGTAGCAGCACAGGGACTCATCTGATGGCTGTAATTAGAGGTTTTTAATGACAGGTTAGGTATGTTTAATATGCAATTCCACATTGCTGTTACACTATCAGATTCTACTCAGGATCTTTGCACATAGCATAACTGAATTCAGAGGCAGATAAATGTTCCCTACATTTCAAATTCAGCAGTTTTGCTGATTTAACACTCTTTCAGGCGTGCACCATGTGGTGAACAAACACTACAAGCAAAGATGTTTTCCACTGAGATTTGTCATGGATTTAAGACATTAACACTTTCCTGCTCTCCCTTCAGATGGAAAAAACACGTTGCTTTGTTTTTCAGTATGAAGAGCTGTGCAATCATATTAGTAGGTATCATTTCATTATCTCTGGGAAATTTAGGTGTGGAGCCAAATCCATGTATTAGATAATAGCCAATCCATTACTTGATTAACTGACTTACATGAAGAAAGCTTATCATCCATAGATTTGTCTGCTTGGAATTAAGTCAAAAAAAGATATTGAAAAGATATTTTCTTTGAATTTCAGAATCTTAAAAATCACTATGCCATATTACAAAATGACATATTTGGAAGAATTTTATGTACCTTAAAAATAGCATATGCTACAAATACATAAAAACAGTATAAAAGTAACCCGAGGCACCACTAATTAAGCATGAGTCAGTGCTTCCAGTAAACTCATGGCAACAGCTAGCAACAGGAAAATACAGTTCTCAGTCCAGAAGCACTGCCAACTTACTGTAGAGAAACGATCCAAAGGAATGCCTTATGTATATAAGATTGACACTTGACATGCTTATATACAGTAACCTTCTCTCGGTATTTTTCTTTCTCCACTTCAGCTATCAGTAACTTCTTCAAGAAGTTGCCGCATTCTGACATAGTAACATTTAAGAATTATTCTATGAGTTGATGTGTTTCTCATCTTGACATAGTATTAGGAGACTATTTTGGTCAGGAAGCCTGAGGCTAAATAGTCCGGTGTTCATAAGCCATGCCAGGTATTCTTGGAAACACCTGCACCTTGCAGTTATCCAGCTGGCTTTGTGAGAAGTTAGAACACTCCTCATTTGAACCATACCAACAGCATGACATCTGAATTCATTTTCACATTCTTGTCCTGATGGGACATGGCTCTGAATATAAAAATTGGCTTATATGAGTGCTGTGTGGTTAAAAAGGTTTTGATGCTTTCTCAAATTGCCCAATAAATCTTTGCTCACCCATAATATAATTAAACTAACCAACCGTTGTGAATTACCTATTAATAATACCAATTCACAGGCAGGTATATTGTTTCACAGAGAAACCACAAGTGATGTATCCAAAAGTAAACAGACTGAGGGTCAGAAACTTCAGAACTAGAATAGTATTACAGTTTTAAATATATACAGTTAATCAGCGTTTCACAGCACAGTCCTGTTCAACAGCCCACACCTTCAGATTAAAACCTGTGTGGCCAGGTCCTCCTTGAGCTTCTTCAACAAAAGCAGCGCAATTGGACAGCAATAACAACAGAGGAGACCATGTTCACGCGTAGTCCTTTAAAACACTGCTAACGTTTCATTTAAAAAGTTCCATATCATACAAATACTAGCAGATGCTGGAAATGGCATTGGAGAAGATTCAGACTGCATCACTTCAGGAAGTCTGTGGCAAAATTTTTTTTGTTTCCTGTGTTATTGCCTCCTGCAGTTCTAAGGTTATATCACCCAGAATATTGCCCTTTTTCTATCAATATCTGTCACCTCTACATGTAGCATTTTGGTTATTTCTTAACATTAACAAACGAAAATCTTTAGTAGATGGCTTTTCTGAAAGCAGGGCTATAGGAGAAGAACCAGATACACACATTTTTAACAAGGGGAATTCCTGTAACCTGTTTGTCTATACATGGTGAGAACGGAGTGCCAATAAGCACAGTTCTTTCATCACACAATCCATGCGTATTGCCAGCTTTCTAGAAAAGAGAGCAAATAATGGTATCAAGCTGGACATTTAGTTCTAGATACTCCTAAGTCAAAGAAGACAGATGAAGAGAAAGGATGATGATTTGCTTTCATGGTAAGGAATATCTCAGTGACTGGGTATTGGGTGCCAAAGAGTAAACCTGCTCACAGGCAAGTGGGAAGTGCTGCCAGCCTGATGACCTGACTGGGCTGGAGAGGCTCCCGAACAATGGATTCTACATCATGTGGATCTTGAAAGGACATGGGAGGGCAGGTAGTTACTTAGATTTACTCTAATCTTCTTCAAAATCTATTACTGTGCTTTCTAAATATTTAATGTTTGAGAACTTGAACGACTGAAACCAGCAGATTCTTGTCTTGTGGTTGGCTATGAGCCCTGAGCACGTATGAAAGATCTTGCTGTGTCCAGTGTGGAGTCCCTTATGCCATACAACTCTTGTATTCACTCTTCAGCGTGCTCTTCATCCGGAATGTATGGGATCTCTACCCCTACTCATCTTCATATTTTCATGAGATCCTCAAGAATGTAAGTATCTGAAAAACATTTGCTCATTTAAAATAAGGTTGAAACCAAATCATGAAGTATTGTGTACATACATAGATAAAAAAAACATAGCACCAACAACACCACGTTGTCATGTGGTCCTGCTAAAGCGACGCCGTTGCAGAAAGCTGAGGACAATAGCTGCCTGCAGGAATTGCTCTCAGGTTCTGTGTTTGAAGTTGAACATATTATCTGTAATTTTAATAAAATTGCCACCTGTTTTTGTGATAGCTCCTGCCTGACCACATTCTAATGTGCCCTTGGCAAGGAAAATACTTTTTCCATTCCAATTGCCATAATGAGAAAATGTGTTGGCTTTAACACAGTATTTATCAGAGGATTATCCCATGAAATTGTCAGTTTATGGCATGATAATTAGATCTGTTACTTGAAAACCTGTCAAGTGAGAGCAAGCTTTCTTCAATAATCTTATTCCTTTCTATTTCGCAGGTGGGGCCTAATAAAGTGAACTACTGAGAAGTATTGATGCAATAGCAACCTTGGCATTTCTGTAAATGAAACACAGTCTGAGTCTGAAGAAATTGCTTGGTGTAGCTTTCCACTTGAAAACTTTCTTCATGAGGAGATCCTCTCCTTTACAAACCAGTAAGCAGAAAAGTATATTGAGCAATGAAGATGGAAAGGAGGGAGCAGCATGACTTGGACACGCTGCAACCTTTCTTCTCCCTTTCAGCACCTCCGATTATCCCAGTGCTCCTTGGCAGGATTCCTGTCCTTGCCCTGCTGCCGAGGCTGCAAAGTTGCAGAGATATGACAAACAAAGAAGAGTGGAGCAGGGAAATATATTCAAATGTGGTCATTTCCTTTAAATGTATTGAAGAGGAAGAGGTAATTAATAAAGGTATGAATGATAGCTAAATATTAATAGCAATCCTTAAACATTGATTTTGGTCCCATATATTTTGTTGCATGAAATATAGTCTGGTTTGAACCAACCTGACTGGGACCTTAAGCTCACAAGAGAAAAAGGCATTCCCATTTTAACTATCCTAAGCAATAAGATAAACACTGAAAAATTCTAGGGAAAGTGTTATTCCACCGCTGGGAACAGGAGTAGGGAGGTAAAAGTTAATCATTAATTCTAAAATAAAGTACATTGAGCAGCTGTTTCTTCGCTTCAGCCAAGGACATCACACTGTTGACGAAGATGAGAGCTGTGAGAGTTCGCTTGAAACGTGTACTGAAAATTATAAAATTATCTCCAAATATTAGTTTGTTTAATATACTGTCCCATTAATTTTATTCATATCAAGCACGCTGAAAGAAAGCCTTCTTGCAGAGGTTCAGACTTTAATAAATATAACTAATTCATTCTCTCATACTAATTAATAGGACTAAGGAGTAATGCTGGCATTTCTTTTCCCCTAGCTTAGTAAGAAGTTACATGCACCTATAATAAGACAACACAGGGTGCATATAAATAGCAGTACCTTATATACTTGCAATCTTATCTACAGCACTCACCCCACTGTGATGCAGGAACCACGAAGATGATCATGAACACCTAGGAACAGAGGCATCCAGCAGCTTTGCAAAACTGTTGTTCTAAAGACGCTCTCACGTATCTTCAGATCATGAGATCTTAATTGCAATCTTTTTAACTTTTGATCACCCTCACAAAAGGGACTTAAACATGGGCAGAGTCCCCTGTTACCTGCTGGATTCTGCACCAAATTCCAGCTGAAGAGTTGAAAGGCAGCTAAGAGGTACGTTATATCATACAAGTAAATTAAAGGATTTCCATGTTTACAGCTAAGCTTTTTTTTTTTTAAAATTATTAAGTTCATTCTCCTGTGGGTACCAACCACATGTTTCCATAATGCACACATTCTAAAGTGTGATATATATTCTTATGTAGAAGTTTTATCTTTTGGCATTATGATCATCCCAAATAAAACAAATCGTGATGACATTTCTGTTGCACAGATTAGTTCCTGATTTAAAGTACTCTAAATAATACTCCAGGCAGGGACTGCTGCATTTCAGCAGTTGAGAAAGAACAGTAGTGTCAAACAGTAAAGTAGTGGTGAATCTGTGATCTCCCAGGCAAGGGCTTGCAGATCATGGAGTTCACGTCACAGACTTTAAACACACACACACGGAAATATTTCATCAGAGTATATTATTATTTTTGTTTAAAATATGCTTCTTCATGCCTGTGAAATGCAACAGTCAAATACCACAGTAGTTTTAAAGAAACAGAACCATTTATGGTCATTTTTCTTTCTTGATGAAAGGAAATCTCCAACTACCATGTGTTAAGAGACTGTCATTGTAGAATTTTAAGGGCAATAAATAGTCACCAGTGATAAATTAAAAATTCTGTATACACAGACTTGTCTCTTTTTTAAAGTGATCTGTTGGGGGAAGTTAAGGAAAAAAGATGGTGATTTGCTTTCATGGTAAGGAATATCTCAGTGACTGGGTATTGGGTGCCAAAGAGTAAACCTGCTCACAGGCAAGTGGGAAGTGCTGCCAGCCTGATGACCTGACTGGGCTGGAGAGGCTCCCAAGCAATGGACTCTGCATCATGTGGATCTTGAAAGGACATGGGAGGGCAGGTAGTTACTTAGATTTACTCTAATCTTCTTCAAAATCTATTACTGTGCTTTCTAAATATTTAATGTTTGAGAACTTGAACGACTGAAACCAGCCAACCACAAGACAAGAATCTGCTATGAGCTCTGAGCATGTATGAAAGATCTTGCTGTGTCCAGTGTGGAGTCCCTTATGCCATACAACTCTTGTATTCACTCTTCAGCATGTTCTTCATCCAGAATGTATGGGATCTCTACCCCTACTCATCTTCATATCTTCATGAGATCTTCAAGGATATAAGTGTCTGAAAAATATTTACTCATTTCAAGTAAGGTTGAAACCAAATCATAAAGTATTGTGTACGTACATAGATAAAAAAAACATAGCACCAACAACACCACGTTGTCATGTCGTCCTGCTAAAGCGACGCCGTTGCAGAAAGCTGTGGACAGTAGCTGCCTGCAGGAATTGCTCTCAGGTTCCGTGTTTGAAGTTGAACATATTATCTGTAATTTTAATAAAATTGCCACCTGTTTTTGTGATAGCTCCTGCCTGACCACATTCTAATGTGCCCATGACAAGAAATGTATTTTTTCCTATTCCTATTGTCATTATGAGATGATATGACAAATTAAAAATTTAGATAAATTAAAAAATATATCTAAAATTCTGTGTACAAATTTGTCTTTAAATGTAATTAGTTGTCCACATGAAAATAACATGTTGCTTTCCCCTGCTTGCTCTGTGATCATTGGTTAATACAAAAGGAAATAGACAGTACAACTTTAAAGTATTCTTAGAAGGTAAAAAATTTCATGCTTACCCTTTCATAAATTCAAAGACCAAAGTTTTTTTTCTTACAGTGCATTGCTGAAAATTCTTCATGCCAAATTAGTTTAAATAGAGTAAGCAGAACCTATGTTTCAATATTATCTGTTTTAAAATATTCTCCAAGTCTGCTTATTATTTAGCACAACTTATGCTTCTAGATGCAAAATCACTGTCTTGAAACAAAGCTGATAAGACAATCATTCTGCAGTCATTTGATCTTCTTTAAATGGACGTCATAATCTCCTTTTTAAACACTGAACTATTCACATCATTTTGAAACATCTTCACTACCCAGACACATTTTGCTGCTTCTTTGTCAGAGACCAATATCTGTACTTCAGAAGAGGAACAGAAACCTTGTAAATTCGTACAGCTAGCTGACCTTGCATAATGGCCATCTGATGCGATGATGCATTAGATCTTAGTGATATATGTTACTGTAAATTATATGGCTTATTTATAATGCAGTGACACATTTGGAAGGTATTTTTCTGAAAAACAAAATCACTAGAAGCCTGGAGATTGGCAGCATGGCCTGTATTTATATCTGTACCATTTTAGAAAGGATTTGGCATTGATTCATGTACATCTTTAGTATAAATGATTGGCATGACTAAGTTCAACTTTAAAAATGGACTTAAGCAACTTTAGTGACATTGAATTATAGCAGAACTTAAAATCTTAAGTGCCTAAAACACATCTAAAACAATGCAACACTGAAGGCAGTGGCTGCCTACTACTTTTAAACATTTAGGTCCAAATTTGAATCGGTGCCTACATAAACATTCAGAACTTAGTTCATAAACTGAACTATGGGAAGTCTGTCCTGAGAAATACCAGGATTTTTGCCTACCAATATGCCCAAAGGTGTACCTGGAGTCATTAGGGAACAAAGACCTGTCTGAGAAACATTATGAAGATTAATAACTCTGCATACAAGATTGGAAAGGAGCAAGCAGAGGGCGTATTGCTTATTGCCTGTATCTATCTGTGACTGGGATGAAAAATAAATCAAATCCAGAAAGGTTTTCTAAGAGGTTTTAGGAAAAAAAAATAGAGCAGGAGGATATTTTGGGGGGATTGGGAAGGCCATTCAGCTACAACATTTCTCCTCCACTCCTGGAATATTTGGAGACATGCTCTTTAAGCTGGAGACTGACTAATGCAATGTTTTTATGGTCATTTAAATGACACAGAAATATATTATTGAATGTATCCTATGTGCTAAGAAGTCCAATTTTTGAAAGTCTAGGCACAGAAGACAAGGGGGAATCAAGAATATGCTACGTATTTTTTCCATTCTGTTTTTTAACTCATCAGCACACTTAGGGAGTACCTGACGTAAGCATGTGTTAATGGAAGACCTATGGATTGCTCACTGCCTCCTAACAGCTATATCTAATTGCATTTGTAAGATAGCAGGCACTAAATATGTTTTACTGTCTTTTGTTCTTACACCTAGAAGACAAGCAATTAAACAGAGATACACACAGTGCAAAGTGGACAATAAAAGTAGAGCTCTTACAGGCAACTGCTGAAATTCACATTCCTGCATGCAGGGATGTCCTCTCTGGGGGCCCATCCCCGTCTTGTTAGGTTCAGCCCAGCAGGACATGCTACAGAACTTTGGGAACAGAAAGAAAGAGAGCAATGTATGGATATAATGTCAGTCATGGATTGCAGTTTCTTGTCTAGAATTCTTTAAAATTGCTCAGGTTGGAGGTAACAAGATAAAGGGAAATTGATTCAATCAGTTTTAAAGCAATTTCCCTGAGTTACTGTAGCAAACACCTGACTGCTTCTATTCCTCTTGTTAGAAACAATTGAAAGAAGGATCTGCAATTTGTTGGATCTTACTCTTCAGATGAAAGTCATCTATACGAGCAAATCCAAAGTGATTTCGGTTATAGTAGCCTGCAGAGAAATGTGGTTTTTGTGTACAAAAGTGAAAAAAGAATTTTGTAGTATGTAGCTTGTTTAGCTGAAAAATGTGATTTCATCTAACAAGCACCACCTAACCACTTGCTATAGGACAGATCAGACTGGTGCGTATCTGTTGGATTGGATTCTAGAAGAAAACAGTCAAGAAGCCAGCTGTTAGCCTTCCTGGCAGATTGGTTTTTAGAAGCATTTGTCCATGAGGATAAATTCCCTTTGGCTTGTAGAGAGACATGCATATAGGGACTTGCATTGTGCTCATTGACTTTGCTTGAGGAATATGTCAGAGATGGAAAAGTTCTCCTCAAAAGTTCTTTAAACTGCCATCAGCAGAGGCTGCTGGTAAGACAATCTTAATCAAACCACATCCTCTGCCTCTGGCTTAGTCTTCTCTAGACATGACAGCAAGTGAGATGGGGCTGGTTTTGCAGCCAAACATGTAATACATGAGAAAGATTAAAAGAAGTTTCAATATAGGATCAGGGCAAACCAGATTTCACACCAGCTTAGAAGTTTTATTGCCTTCCCCTTGACTTTTTCCTCATTTCTGTCATTATAATGTCAGAGTCCAGAAGGTAGATGAAGGAATTTAATACAAAGCACCTCTACTCTATAGAGCAATCATGGCATTTGCCCTCTTCAAGTCCAGTGTAGTTAGGTGGACATCGCATATTTCCAGACCACGTACATTTTTTCATCTCTAGTCTGCCCTTAAGCAATGTCATCTTTTTAGAATTCTACTTGTCATTCTTTCTGTTTTATCCAAATAAGCAGAAAGATCCATTGCTGAAATATCTGAGCTTTCCAAATGACCACTAATTTTAATGTTGACTTGTAGAAAGCAATCTTAATGCTGAACAGTGTCATTTGTAATCCTGATAATATTTCTGATTGTTAGCAGCAGTCACATTGGTCATAATTGGCTCCAATTAGGACATTTACTTTCATCATTTTCATTTTAGAAGCTGTGTAGCATTAATAGCAAAAAGAAACAAATGTAAAAAGCATGCAGCTTTTTCTGCAGCTCTCCTGAAATGATTCTACGGTGTTCTTGGATACAAAAACATTCTACCCCATTCTTGGACAGCATGGAATATGTCATCAAGTGTATATATGTGACATCTTTCAGCAGAATTAGTAATTGATGACTCATAGTATTATACAAGAAGAACAGCTGCCATATAACACAGTTGTACAGTTAGAAAGCACTCTACAGAAGGGAAACCTTCAAAATACAAACCTTTTACTTGTCATCATCTGCAGAATACTGGATATTCATTACATGCAAATGTCCAGGTTATAAACTCACATGCTGCATTAACATGGCAGTTAAATTTACTAGTATGAAAGCTGCACTTGTAAAATATTTATGAATACATGTGGTTGTCACTGTAAAGAAACTGCACTGTCAGCTCAGCCTCTTCCCCTTGTTTCCTCCCCGTCTTCTCTCTTGACTGTATTCCATGAAATTCAAACCACGAGTCTTTAGAAATACCCCACTGAGAGGCATCATACAGGAAAGAAATAAAGAACTTCCTCCACGGTATTTTGGTGCAATCATTATATTCACTTTTTCATCCACTCATACAGTTTTCAGTGTGGTATTCCTAAATGGGAGCTTAAATTTGATTTTAGCATCTGTGATTTTTCAAATTAAGAAGTGAACCGTGAATAATGTTGCAAAATCTTACACAACTTTTAAATTGTACATAAAATTACCAAATGCACTGCTTTTGTTAATGCCTTGCATAGATCATTTCTCTGATCTCTGTAGAAGAAGACAGTTAAAAATGAGGCTAGAAGGATAAAAAAAAAAAATTCTACATGCTTTAAATACTGTATAATCAATGAATATTAAGACATTATAATTACAAAATAAACAAAAGAGTTTAGCAAAGCAGATTATAATAACAAAAAGAGAATAGATAAAAAGCTTACCCATATCCTGAGCTCACTTACAGAACTCCAGCAGAGGGGATCTAAAGAAGAGATCCTTCCCCCCTGGTAGTCAGCTTTTAAATGGGTGTAGGAGCCAGGCTCCACCCCTTCCAGCAGCACAGGTGAATTGCCTTCACCTGTGTCCCATGGCTGACTCATTGCTTGTCTCAGGCGATCAATCAGAGGTTCAGGCCGTGATTCAGCAGTTCCCATACAAATACATATTGTAGCTTTGCATGTTCTTTGTCCCAAGGAGGTCACAGGTTTCACATTCACACAATGCCTAATTCTATGTGTATTTCACATATATAATCTATTAATTAAAATATTACTGTTGTTCTTTGAGATGGCCAAATGCTACAGCATGCACAGAACACAGATGAGTGCTTTTTATGTAACACGCATCTTAAATATTGCCAAAGTATCAGAGAAATTTGTTTGCAAGAACCACAAACTGATGAAGTACAGACTAGAGAAGTGAGCCATGAGGTGGACTGGAAACCCTGAACTGCTAGGCTTAAAAGGATGCATCTGGAGGAGAAGTGCAAAGTCCTGCAATTCTGCCAGAGGAAGTACAATTCCTGCACCTGGGGACCAATAACCTCACACACTTGTACACGCTGGGCCCACCAGCCACAAAGCAGCTTTGCTGAAAAAGCCCTCAGGGTCTCAGAGAACACCAAGTTGAATGTGAGCCAGAAATGTACACTGGGGCCAACAGCATCCTGGGTTGCATTAGGAAGATCACTCCCAGCAGGACAAGTGAGGAGATCCCTTCTCTCTACTCAACACTGGTAAGACCACACTTAAAGTGGTGTGCCCACTCTTGGGCTGGGCAAGTGTGGAGTCCTACACCTGGAGAAGAATAATCTCATGCATCATGCTGGGGGCTGACCTGCTGGAGAGGAGTTCTGCAGAAAAAGACTTGGTTGTCCTGGTGGTCAACAGGTTGACTGTGAACCAGCAGCATGCTTTTGTGGCTCAGAAGGCCAAGGGTATCCTGGAATGTATCAAAAGAAGAGTGGCCAGCAGGTTGAGGGAGGTGATCCTCCCCCTCTACTCTGCCCTGGTAAAACCACTTCTGAAGTACTGAGTCTATTTCTGGGCTCCACAGTTCAAGAAAGACAGGGGACTTCTGGAGAGTCCAGCGGAGGACCACAGAGATTATTAGAGACCTGGAACTTCTCCATTATGAGGAAAGGCTGAGAGATCTGGGTCTGTTCTACCTGGAGGAAAGAAGACTGAAGCAGAATCTTATCATTGCTTATAAATATCTAAAGGGCAAGTGTCAAGAGAATGGGGCCATGTTCTTGTCAGTGGTGCCCAGCAACAGAACAAAGAGCACTAGACACAAACTGGAACGCAGGAAGTTACATACGAACATGAGAAAAAACTTCTTTACTGTGAGTGTGACAGAACACTGGAACAAGCTGCCCAGAGATGTTGTGGAGTTTCCTCTGGAGATATTCAAAACCTGCCTGGAAGATTTCCTGTATAACCTGCTGTAGGGAATCTGCTTTAGCAGCGGGGTTGAACAAGGTGATATCCTGAGGTCCCTTCCAATCCCTACAATTCTGTGATTCTGTGAGGAACCTACTCCACCTGACCCAGTTCTGAACAAGAGGATTGGATTAAATGATCTCCAGACATCTCTCCCAACCTCAACCATTCTGTGATTTTGAGGTAGCCTGATGTTGACCATGGTCCCTATGGACAGTGGGATAGAGTTTCTTAAGCAATTATAACATGAGTCAGATCTGTGTAGATGTAAATATGGCTGGTTAAACCTACATGTCTTTAAAGTTCTGATCCTGGGAAATCTCTTCTCCAGGAACATGCTTTGTTTTCAGCTCTTCTCCCACTTACAGTTGTGTAGATCCCTACAGATCTGTTTGGCTCATCTCCCATGTCTATGCCATCCTATATGAAAGGGAGAGATGTTTGGGGACCTGTTAAAACAGTCTCATTCATCACAGTCCTGGCTGTGAAGTGAGCATCACCAAACATTGCAAGTTATCTGGCACACTTCTGAACTGGTTAAACTCTGGCTGAAGAGGATAAAGAGCTCTGGCATTCTATGAGAGCATTCTTAGCAATAGTCAGTACAACACCAGCTTGAGAATATGTGCTGGTGCTCAGCCCTCTGCTTCACTGAGGCTGCCTGTAATGAAATCCTTGCTATGCAATGCAGCTGATGGATAGGGGTTGATGTATAGTCAACAATTGGCATTTCCAGAGATTAATATCACCAAAATCTCTATTCATATTTAAACACATGATATAGGCTTTCCCTCCACAGAGAAAGAAAAAAAAAAGAAAGAAAGAAAAGAAAGACTGTAGATGTCTGTGACACTTGAAAAATCAAAGGCTTTCAAAGTAATAAAGGCAATGCCCAGAAAGTATGACAAGCAGTAGCCCTACTACAGTGTTTCCTTTAAAGAGACATCTGGGGTGAATTAGGGTGCTGCTCAGACTGTGGCACTGCTACAGATGTTGAGGTGTAAACGTGTTTTGCAGGGACTGTAGGTATGTGATCACACATAATGCTTTTATTGGGAACTCTGGCACTATATTTCCAGTAATATGAAGAATGGAAGAGAAGAAAAGAAATGCCTTCTGAGCTTAAATTACAACCACATCTAATGAACTCAGAGGTGTTTTCACTCTACTTTAGTATAACTTTTCAACTCCTGCAGCTTAAATGAAACTACTGACCATAACAGTAAATATGGACTCAAAGACTATCCCAAGAGGTGTCATTAGCAACATATTACATCCTTTTCTAATTTGTACACTTACCATGTTGCAGAATTTCACAGGACTGATGAAACCTCCAGAACTCCATGTCTCCCTCAGCAGTCTACAATAACCCTCAGTCTGAATGACATGTATTATTTCCTTGTTGAACATGTGATGTAGCAGGGTTAGTAAAAGATTTATTGCAAGAAAAACTAGATGTTTTATTTCCAACCTAATTGAATACGTTATTGCTCCAAGTTTAAAACTGTTGCAGTGATATATTACACCTCAACAAAACTGTGCGCATGAAATCCACGGTAAGAAAGCTTACTGGTCTACTAATCAGAATGCAGCTGTTGATAGGAGAGATATATACCTTAACTTACAATATATTACAATAACATTTTACTGTATAACCATGGTGGGAAATAACATTTAAAAATCTGATGAAAGTGTTAGGCAATGCTTCCAATTTTACTAACTAAAATAGCAGCAACTGCAAAACTATAATCCCTTTCGTTGTGTATGGATGACAAAATGGCCATACTAAAAGCTCCCTATCAGTGTAACATGTAAAATAGATAAAAGACTGCTAATCCCAGCAAAAACTGCTTATAGAACAGAGCAGATTCTAAATTCATTCTGGAATAGAAAGCCTGCTGCGGGGCCACAGGTCCCTGACACATGTGTGGATTAACATGGGACAGGGCTTCTGCTATGCCTCTGGCCCTCCAGCCTGCCTCCATCTGTCCTCATGCAGCTCTTTGAAGATGAGTACCTGCAAACTCTGATCTGTGATGAAGATAGAACTGTAAAAAAATTTAAGATCAGTAAAGGCAAATGAGTTGCACTGGGAAATTTATTATACATGTGCGATAATTGAGTGGCAGTTCTAGCTGACACTGCTGGGCCTAACTTCATCTGTGGCAATGAAATGTTTATTCTACATCATTGATGTTTGAGTTCAATGGGGATCCTGAGATGAAAGTGACATGGAGATTTTCCAGAAAGCAATATTTAAGCAGACATTTTAATGAAGATGGACCACCCTACTAGCTTTAAGAATGCTGCCTGTAACAGGACAAGTTCTCTTTTTTTTTTGCCAAAGCCATAAGTCTAAGGATTAAAACCCACTAACTGCCCAAAGGCCTATCCCTAGATGCTTGGAGAGCAAAAGGAACTATTCATTTCGCTTTGTTCACCGCATCCTACAAGGTGACCCAACTGCTCAGCCTGTCCCAGGGTTGTGGGTCTTCACTTGCCAGTGCTATAAGATTTCCATTAAAAATAAAGACCCTAAAGGCTCATTGCACATTCAAATATTCATCCACAGCAAAGCCAGAGGGTTGTGAAATACCCTGACACTTCCATCTGAATACCTTTGTCCTGCTTTCCCTTCCTGCGTTTTCACTGCAGGAATTATATGACCTTGCCTTTACATGGTCAAATCTACATATTGTTGGCAGTCAGTTTCTTTTTTTCACTTTTTATTTTTCTGCATGTCTTCTTTCACTGACTTTCTCCACTGACCTGAGAAACTTGAAGTTATTTTCCCCTGCACGCAGACAACGATAGTCTTTATGCATTCCTTGCGATGCACCAATTTTCTGAACAAAATTCCATCCATTGTTTTCAGCAATTGATCCCTAGGCTAAAATGGGAAAACAGGATAATCCCTCATTTAAATGATCAATGGAAAGGAATGACTGGGAGAAAACGTTGATCACTGCCACAGCCCTAATCATCCGAAGTGTTAGTGCAATTCAGAGACGGAAGGAGTGGGAGAGATTTACAACATGAGGAGCTCCCAGGGACGGAGGTCTGTAAGGAATGGCTCCCATATGGAACTGGAATGCTTTGTACACCCTGGTTTAGCAATTAAATTTACAAGGTGTTGCTAAGTAGCAGCATCCCTGTAAACTCAGCAAACGTTGGAGATGCTGTTACAAAACAGAGGACTTCTTTTATTGCTTCTCACATTTCAATAGGGGAAAAGTCATTAGCAGAAGGCTGTTCTTTGTACAGACTCTCCATTTGGAAAGGAAGGAAGATATTCCAGTAAGGGATCAGTGAGTGAGTACAGCATGGCCCATCAGTGAAGGCAGATGTTTCAGCAGGAAGGATAAAAAATAGAACACAATAAGTATTTGGATCTGAATTAAAAACTATATGTCTAAAATGAGTAGGCAGTGATTTACTTACACACAAACACACAGACATATATATGTGTACGCATTTCCCCTTGGAACAAAAACTGCCTTTTAAATTCTTCTCAGTCGAGTTTTACTGACGAACTTG